GAAAGCAGCGCATTGTATCCAGAGTCTGCGTCTACAGCCCTGATCTTTGCCACAAAGTATCCCGCTTCAGCAGAATAGGGGATGCTCTCACTGTTAACGGAGCCGTGCTCAGAATATGGCGCGAGAATCGTGGGACTGTTGTCATTTTCATCCAGGATTAAAACGTTAACAGTCACGTTACTGCTGAGTGGAGGAACACCAGAGTCTGTGGCCTGAACTTTAAACTGGAACGTCTTTAACTCCTCATAGTTAAAAGACTGCAGGTTGATTATATCCCCAGTCTCTGAATTGATGTTTAATAATGTAGACAGTGCGACTGAGTTAATTTTGCTTTCCATAAAACTGTAAGTCACGTCACCATTTTTGTTCATATCTGCATCAAAGGCGGTTACCGTTTTAAGAATTGTCCCCACGTGGCAGTTTTCTTTAACATAAATGTTAAGTATCGATGACGAGAACTGAGGCGCGTTATCATTAACATCAGAAACTTGAACAGGGACAATAATGGTGTTTGAGAGCGGGGGACTACCGCCATCGCTTGCTATTATGGTGATGTCGTAGCTAGAGACCGTCTCTCGGTCTAAGGGGGCAACCACTATCAATGAGTAATAATTTTTATAGTTTGCTTCCAATTTAAAGGGAGCATCTTCATCTACAGTACAATGCACTTCACCGTTCTTACCGCCATCTTTGTCTACCACTGAAACAAGTGCAACAGCGGTGCCTGCTTTTGCATCTTCCTTCACAGTATTCAGTAGTGACGTCACAAAAATCTCAGGCGCATTGTCGTTTAGGTCCAAGACTTCAACCAGCACCTTACAATGAGCGGACATCGGAGGTTGGCCTTTATCACTGGCCTGTGCACGAATCTCAAAGACGGGGTGTTGCTCAAAATCCACATTTCCTTCCACCGTCAGTGTGCCCGTGTTCGGATCGATTTTAAAAATCTGCAGCACGTGGTCCTGCTCCTTTGTGCTAAGTGTATATATGATTTCTTTGTTTGTTCCTTCATCTGCATCTGTAGCATTTAAAGTCAGGACTGTAGTGCCTATCGGTACGTTTTCAAACACACGCACTTTATACAGCGACTTTGCAAACACTGGTGTGTTATCATTAATGTCTAAAACATTAATCATAATATTGGATGTTCCAGACTTCGGTGGACTTCCATCATCTAAGGCTGTTAACGTGAGCTTAATCAGAGGTTCCTTTTCTCTGTCTAAGACTTTCTGTAACATTAGCTCAGTCGAAATACTCTCACCCGATTTGCTTATTGCTAATGAAAAATGTTCATTCGAGCTCAGCCTGTATGTGTTGATGCCGTTCTTTCCAACATCTGCATCGTAGGCCTGCAGTAGGGGGAATTTTATCCCGGGTAATGTGCTTTCGGGAATGTCTATATTCTGTGATTTTGCAATGAAATGCGGAAAATTGTCATTGACATCAAGAATATTAATCTCTATACGGTACAGCATTAAAGGTTCGTTTATCACAGCCTCGACAGTTACGGCACATCTCACAGCTTTCCCGCAGAGCTTCTCTCTGTCTATTCTCTCATTCACGTAGAGGACTCCAGTCTTCGTATTTACCTCGAAATATTTTCTTTTAGATCCTCCAACAATCCTGAACATACGGGTCTCCAAATCCGGTATGTTTAAATGTAAATCCTTGGCAATATTTCCAACAACTGTTCCCGAGTTTACTTCCTCTGAGACGGAGTAAGAGAGCTGCCCAGACGCTTCATTACAACAATAATCCAGTATCAGAAGTATTAAGTATATCAACGAAAAGCAGTTGCGACACGATAAAGGCATAATTCCGTTCAGCACAACACGGCATACATTCGAATTTGAAATTCCTATAAAAAATTCGAACAAATGTAGTACATATACCACCAATTTTCAGACCAGACGGGTGGCTGTCGCAATGTACCCACACCTACTACTCTCTTTGTTACAACACCGTGTGGACTGTCTCTGGGAGGAGCGTTAAACACAAAGCGGAAGCTGTCATGTTACGGTCTATACCGTCTCCTTGTGGTGACTGTGATTATCCACACCTACTGGCTCATGAAAAAGAACAAAATTG